ATATATATATATATATACATACTCATTTGATTCAGACTTATGTTTTTAGATCAGGTTGGATATGCGTTTTTTAATGTACTTAATAATATCTTGAAACAGCCAAAATATTGAGAATTACAAATTATCATATTATAAGACAAATATTAAAAACACTTCTATATTATAAAAAATTTAAATATGAGAGCATAATTTTTCAATATAATTCATAATTTTTCAAATTTTAAAAATGAAAGCATTATATCTGAAATTGTTTAAAGTAATTATTCCCTTGTGTTTCAAAATGGTTCTTTAAAAAATGTAGGTATTAGATAATATTAAAAAATTGTTGATGTGTGTTTTTTTAAGCATTCTACAAATAATCTGCAAATTAGCTGTAAGCCACCCAAATCCGCAAATAATCAGGAGTTTACTGTATAAGATTTTTAAAAAAAACTAGAAAGAAAATTAAGAATTAATAAGTTTTACCGCAAGCGCTTAGAACCCATATAATAAGATACAAATACAAAGAAAACAAGGAAATAAATAGAAAGGAAAAACATTTTTTAAAAGATAAGAAAAATTAAAAATAGTTAAAATTTTGAAAATTTAAAAAAAAATAAAAGCCAAAAAACCAAGTATCAAAAAGATATAATCTCAGTGTCAGCTCACATGATTATTAGCAAATTAGAATGCTTTATAATATTGTATTAATATAGCCTAACCAAAATATATCAACAGGGGTCTGTCTAGGTTTTTCTGAATGGTAGCTATTTTGTGAAATTTTAGACACAATTTGTGAAAATTAAAAATTATATTAAAAAATCAATACAAAAATATGATTTATCTTTCTTATGGGATACAGAAATAAAATTTTAAGAAAACGTATTTTGTGAAACTAGTTTTTCCTAAAGTTGAATTTTTGAGGGTACCGCTAAACGGTAGAAAATTTGGCCTGGACAGACCCCTGATCAATACAATATTACTATTGTATAGGACTAATGTATTGAAGTATTTTGCTTTGGTTGAATTGATACAATATTAAAAGCACATGCAATGTTAAAAAGCAGTACCTAATTTGTGGGTATAATTGTATGATCTGACAACAACATTCTATGTTTTTTTTTAAATTTTTAATTATTTAAATAATTTTCTTCTTTGTTCTCAAAAAATGATTTTCTATCCTTGTTGAGTGTTTTTAGAAGTCCAGGCTGCCCAGTTTACTTTTTCATTTCAATAAATTTGCCCTGTTTGTAAAAATAAGCCACCATCTGTTAAAAACACTACCCCCTTTGCTCTTTCCACTTTGAATAAAATCAATTCAATTTTTAAATAATAATTACATACTGGTAAAATTATCAGAGTTTAACCCACTGACGGTTCTGCACGTAAAAAGTCGCATTTTAACCTGCAGTCTTCTCTGCATAGCAAAACCGGTTGTCCCGTGTTAATAGATAGGGGAACTGTGTGTAGGGGAGAAACATTCTCCCAATTTTGCCCATTTCCTTAACCGCCAGTGGGTTAAAGGTTTTATTCTGATTAGTACTACAAATCTTCACTTAGTTAGAATTACTCTCAACAGGTTATAATTTTATATGGGGGGGGGAGAAAGAGGGATATTAATAAATTTTTTAAAAAATTATTTATATAATTTTGAGATTTTAAATTTTAAAACTATTTCTTAAATAAATAGCTTTTTAGCAAAAATAAATGCACTTTTAAAAGTTTATTTTTTTTTCACAATTTTCAGTTAAATTATTAAAAAAAAGCCTTCAAGTTGTTTATTAATTAATCATTATTTTCATAAAAAATCAAAATTTCTTGCTTATTGTGATAATGATAGAGAATTATTTTTTGAAATATACACATAAAATAGCATAAGAGGGTAATTTAAAAATGGATGGCGATAAATTCGGTTATTACATAGTAATACACATTTTAATAAATTTTTAAGGTGACAAATTATTGCCCTTTCGAAACCCAAAGGGCCCTTTTCAGAGAGGAAGCGCCAAGCACCCTGCCTTTTTTAATTCCTAGGGAGAACTCTGATATGTATAAGACAGAGCAAGTCAAAGATAAAAATTCTTCTCTAACCAACAGTTGCGAAAATACATTTTTTCAGAAATAGCAGATATAGAATATAGCAGATGTGACCTATTAAAAAGTATAAGCTCCTTTCTTTAATCATATAACAAGACTACGTTACATGAAAATAAAAAGAGAAAGATGTGTCGAAGAAAAAAATAAACTATTTTTAAAAAAAACTAATTAAATAATATTTCTTTGATTGTGAAGTTATCAGAAAGAGAGGGATGGTTAAAAAAAATTGTAAATAAAAAATGCATAGGAAATGCATAATATGATAACAAACACTGCTAAAATTGGGAATGTGAAAAATATATAATTGCTCACCTAAATATACGGATTTAAAGATGTGGAAAAAACATTCTATGCGGAAGAAAGTTAAGTTGTATAACCATCAGAAATTTCTTTAAACCACGTAAAATGCAAAGTAGATAACCATGGAAAAGTTTATTAAAGTGAAAGGGCCAATAAAGATCATCTAATAATCCATTTTAAGACAAACCCCGTAGCAATATACGTCATTAAATTCAACTTTATGCCTTGGAAACCCCCCTTATTTACATTTGTAAACATTGAATTTAATGCCTCTCAAAACAGGTGAAAGATAGGTAGAAAAAAAAAACTTACTTTGGAGGAATTGAGTTTAAATCCTCGGACATTGATTGTAGCTTATTTTTCGATGCAACAGATCTCTGTTGCTTAGATGTATCATTTTCTGTCTCTGACGCCGAAGCTTGAGATTCGCTAACGGAAGTTTTAGACATACTTTAACATCACACTAGATAAATTTAAATATGAGAGCATTCTAACTTCTGTTGACATCAAAAAGGGTACACATATCTGAAAAAAACTTAATTTTCACTCATTTGTTTAAAAAAAATATTAATAGTCGATGAAATGAAAATTTAAAATCACTTCCTTGAATTAAAAATAAACTCCCAAACTCGTTTTTAGGGAAAGTTTTGCAAAGGCTGTCGAAACGTTGAAACGAGGAAAAAAAAGTTACATTATTAAGTATCAAACAATAGCGAATACAACAAATGCATAACACAACAGACCTTCATTCTCATAAATGATGATAACAAAAGAAAAATAAACGTCTGGTATACGATATAGATTAAAATCAATTATGCAATTTCAAAAAAATCGTTAAGTTATGAATTAAAGGGAAATGTCCAGTGGTTCAGATTAAAAAATTTTTTCACTGTAACAAAAGGATTTGCATATGCGTTAGGTGGCCAAATTTAAAAACAATTATTTGAGGACAAATTAGATACGCATCCTCAAAAATTTTACTATTTAAGAACATCCATGCATTAACGGAAAATATTAAAGAATCATCTTTATCAAACTTGGTTTCATTACTGTGTAGTTTTGAAATATATAATATTTTGAATATATCTGCCTGAATCATCTGTTTTAGTTTCAGTGATCTTTGTTTTTAGTTTGTAAAGAAACGCTTGTTTTTTTTTTTTTTTTTTCCTTCTTTTTTTTTTTTAAATATGCACATTTTTGACATTTGTGGACTTGTGTTAAAATTCAGCGAACGTTTTCTGTCCTCAAAGCATTTGAAAGTTTTTGAGGACAATCAATAAAATTCGAGAACTTCTCAAGAGCGTGTGGTTGGAGAGTCCCAAATTTTATTCCGCACCTATTATTTAGAGGCCGTTCTCACTGCATGCTAATCACACACCTTCGATCTCCGTCATAAGTGAAGAGAAACGGTAAATTCTTCGCAGTAGAATATATTTTAGCATGGCCCCTTGAACTTAAATTTGGAAAAGAAATCTGAATTTTTTTTAAAAATAGATAAATGAATATTTTATCAATCAATCAGCTCTATCAATCTGGTTCTCATCACACCTCGGGTGATTCTGAAAATGATACCCTTTATTTAATTTTGGAAAAGGAATCTGAATTTAGTTTTTACCCTTCAATTGTCTCCCTGGTGTCGTTATAAAGCCGTATAAAATTAATTTTTATATTTTAAATTACAATATTACTAAAAGATCTATATCAGTGGTTACCAACTGGCGGCCCTCATCCTGCCATCGAAGACTTTTTTTGTGGCCCGCGAACTAAAATATATTAGTGGTCATTTTTCTGCGGACAATTTTCGTAAAAAATTTATATGGGTTTAAAATACTCTTCTTTCGTTTAAAAAGAAAAAAGAAGAAAAAACTTAATTTCTTCGTTTCTGGAAAATTTAACATACCAACGGTGCAAAAAAAATTATTTCTCAGGTTTTGCATCCAAGTAAATATTAATTCAAATACAAAAATAATAAAATAATCGTGTATGTCGTTCTTTTTGTTACGTTTTTTTTTTTTTTGTATTTTGTGAATATAGTTTAGCATGTGAGTATCAGAAATTTTCTCGAAGTAATTCTTCGATTTAACTTTTTGAAACCATTCATTTTGGACGAAATTATTTACATTTGTAAATTTTAAAACGCATAAAGGAGATAATGAATATCATGTTTCATTTATATTCTTTGAATGGAATATGGTCTGAGCAGAAAAGAAAAAAAAAATTAATTTCAGATTAATTTCTTAATAGGAGAAAACTTCTTTATGAGTGTTAAAACGAGAACCTAGAACTGAAATTAATAAAATTGATGCGAAAATAAGGACAATATACGTACAATTGAAGAGATCTAGATGGAAAGAAATGAGCAGCAATCTGAATTCCAGATCAATTAACTATCCAAATTACGGCGGATTGTCAAGAACATTTATGAGGAAAATAACTCTGTAATAGATAAAAATTATCTGGTTTTTCCCAATGACAAAACAGCAGCAGATGGCCTTGAGGCCTACTACCAGGCAACTAGCAAGTTGGATTTCACAAGGGAGAATAAACCTGTTATGAGAAAAGCTGAAAACATCTTTTATTCAAGGTTGTCGAAGCTCCGATTTGGGCTACCGAGACTTATCTAAAAACTTCTCACTGCAAAAATTGCTCCTTGCAATTCCTTCTTCACCTGACAAAATCTTCTGGCCCAGATGAAATCTTTGGCCAAATGCTGGAAAATATTGGCCACCAAGAAAAAGGAAAACAGAGACTTTTAGATATTATCAATCTCTCTTGGAAAACTGGACGCCTTCCATCTGACTGGAAAAGGGCCACTGTAACCCCCATTAAGAAAACTGGCAAAAAGACTCTGGGCCCCTAGGGATTTCAGACCCATTGCACTGACTAGCACAGTTTGCAAAATTATGGAGAAAATGATCTTGAATAGAATTCAATACTTTCTGGACAGTAAGAACTTAATGCCATGCGAACAATTTGGCTACAGAAGAGGCCATAGTACCATTGATCAAGATCTATTTTTCTGCCAAAACATTAGAGATGCACAAAATATAAAGCCTACCCACCACACAATTGCTGCTCTCTTAGATCTTACAAAAGCGTTCGATGGAGTGTGGAAACATAAATTGTTTTACCACCAATAAAAGATTATACAATTTCCAGCCAAAATTAAAAATGGATAACCAGGACTTTGCTTATGAGAAGTATCCTAAATATCTGGGATTTATTTTAAATCTCGAATGGATAATGAACAACACCAGAAAATCGTGACAGTCATTGACAACTCAACTTGGAACAACATCTGCCCAATAAACAGACTAACCGTAACATCAGTGAATGTCTCACATCCGAAAAACAACAGGATAAAACGTCGAATAAGACTTCAGACAGTCTGACAGACGTCGAATTCCACCACCATCAGGATTTGCCTGTCAACAGTGTCGAATGCTTCAAAGAAGAAGGGACATCTAGATGAAAGAAACATCGAGCGGAAAGAAAGATCTGGTGGGAATAAACATTTAGCTGAAAGAAACATCGAGCGGAAAGAAAGATCTGGTGGGAATAAACATCTGGCTGAAAGAAACATAGAGAGGAAAGACAGATCTGGTGGGAATAAACATCTAGCTGAAGGAAACATCCAGCGGAAAGGAAGATCTGATGAGAATAAACATCTAGCTGAAAGAAACATCTAGCTGAAAGAAACATCTAGCTGAAAGAAACATCTAGCGGAAGGAAAGCTCTAAAGAAAAGATATATATAGTGGGTAGAACATCATGCTGAAAGAAACATCTTATGCTTAACATCGAGTTACTTAAAAAAACTGGCTTTGTTTATGTGCACATAAGCCACTTCCTGAAAATAAAAAAATAAAAAAAATTTTTAAGGTATGGAATCAAGCTTATGAAAAGCATATTAAAGTTATTTTGGAATTAAATTAAATGTCAGTTAATTACTGAGCAATTCTTAGTGTTTCAGATGCAAACTTTTAATTCGATTTGTTCAGTAATTAAATGCTCTTAATGCAAAACGAACTTTCATAACATTAAGATCCAAAAGTTAATATGTTTAAGTAAGTTTGATAGTAGTTTACAATCTCGGGCCCTCCTAATATTTGTCGATTTGAAAATAAACCAATATATATAAATTAAAATAGAAACGTTTCAATTTTTAATATCTTTTCACAAAAATTGTCACAGGTTTTGTTTTTTATTGTATTTACCTTTCTTTTCAAGAACCATGAAACTCTGTAGCTGCCAAAGGTGACCAACATTTTTGTATTCAACTAAGTTTCTAAAAATTCAGAAAATGAAATGCATGTTTTTAAAACATATTTTTTTCAAGTAATTTAATTTTCAAGTAAATGTAATTTTCATGTATTTTACTCGAAGTTTGCATTCGTTAAACACAATATTTCAGCACTATTGTCAAAAAGGAATTAAATTATTACATTTTACAAAAAAAAAAAAAAATGATAAACTTGTCTTTGGATTGGAGTGTTTTAAATAAATGAGAAATTTTTTTGATTCGCACAGATTCTCGTATTCGAAGACATACCATCACAATTTTGATCCTCAGAAAAAGGGATGGCTCCCAAGCGAAATCGAGCATTTTACGTTCAAGCAGTTTAACAAGGACCGATACCACGCCACCCTCGGTTCTTTCTCAGGCTGATCAAAGTGATCACTCACCTGCTCAGTGACCGCTGCCAAAACTTGACTTCTAGGACTTACTGGGAACCATATTTTGCGATCTGTAAGACCTAAACGACTGAAAAGAGCGACCTCAATTATGCTTACATATTAAGGCTAACTATTAATTACAGAAAAAGGCACAAAAACGCACTTTCTCGGAGAAAAAATGCCTTTTTTTTCAATGGATTAGGATTTTTGACACTGAAATAATGGAATCAGCCACAATCTGGAAAATATGGTTCAAATAATTTCAGCGGGAGAGATGTCGAAAATTTAGGTTGTTTAATTTGCGTATTTAATTACAATATATCTCAGGTAGTTTTAAAGAGAATCGAAAATTGTTTGCACTCAGTCATTAAATTTCTTTGTCCATAATTTAATTCGTACGTAAATTATAAGATAATTCCACTTTAAACAGTTAATCTCCTTTTTAAAATAATGTATGTTTTATTTTTATTAGTTTCATTTAATAAGGGTAGAAAATATCGAATTGTAAGGTATACAATTTTTTTTTTTTTCTATTTCAAACTATGTTAAGACTTCAAAATTTGAGCGAAATCGGTTGAATTACTTCTGAGTTATAAAGCTTTTTTTTTTTAAAAAAAAAAAGACCTTTTTTAAAAAAAGATCTTTTTTAAAAAAAGTTCTTTTTAATGAAAAGGTTATGTTTATGAAAAAGTGTATTAATATCAAGATTCTAATAAATTCAATTCTTTTCAAAAATACTTACATACTTTTTCCCACTTTTTACCATAATATTTATGACGTATAATGATCTAATGATTAGCAGGCCTGAAAGTAATCATTTCGCTCGAAAGAAGAGAATAGTTTATGGTTGAGAATAGCTTATTTTATTCCGACCGAAAGCATGAAATTCCTAATTGTAAGTTCTGTCAACATATTTAGAAAATATGCTTCAATAAGATTTATAAACAAATCATAATTTTTGGTAAATATAGGTCACATCGATGATTTCACTAAAAGTTGAACATCGGTCTCCCTTCAATTTTCCTCACTTAATTAAGGGTCTTTTCTAACTAGAAATTTGTTAAACCTTTGGATGACAATTTTATTTTATATTTTATAACCGTCGTTTCACAGTCGATCCAATTCTTTGGGTTTACGACTACTAATGTTCAACTCCATAGCCTTGTCATTTTTGACCCAATCCAGAAGACAGGGAAACTCATGGATCAGTACCCCCAGAGGTTTGATTTATTATCAGAACATGGAGGACTTTGTGACTAGACAGATT